AAGAAACTCGTTTTATATACGAGGGTGTAAGATGAGAAGAGAAATACAACAGAGATATAGAAAGGCACGGCTCGCAGACCGTATTTCAAAATAAACCATTGTAAATTGAACAAGTGCTATAACCATGCTTATCAAACACCGTGCAAAACAAACATATCATATATATACACGTTGTTACGCATCTGTTAAAAAAAATTAATATGGGCCTTCAATTTGTACTGCTTATGAGGGGTCAAGGGGCCAGGATAGCCAAGTAGTGTGGGTCACATCCATTGGGTGTATCTATTGGGACCGTCGGAGCACCCCATGGCTCAGCAGAAACAAAACTCGACGGTCTCATCAGTGATCCAAGTACGAAAAACTGAAATCGGGAGGAAGAGATGCGAATACTTACAGTGGGTTCCTTGAAAAACAGCAAGGTCATCACTGAATACTGGTGGTGTAGATTGGTTTGAATCGTAAGCCTCCACAAAATCACGTCTCAGCCTCTACTCAGTTCACCTGATTGAGAGCAATCTTTGTTTTCCCCAAAACTCTTTTGAGAGAAAACGGCTGAATATTTTGTGTGTGTGTGTGTTGCAAAAAATGGCTGTTAGACCTAACACACCCTTTTATATACATTACCCTAACATCTTAGGGCTTTTTAAGTTGTTTTGAATTAATAAATAAAATATTATTTAATTAATTCAACTTAAATATACATTAAAGACTTATAATCAGAATTACAATCTTTAATGTTTACTTAAAATATTTATTTAATTATTCCAAATTATATATATATATATATATATATATATATATATATATTAAAAGAGTTGTAATATAAATTACATTCTTTTAATGCTTATTTAATATATTTGGGATAATTAAATTCATATGTATATCAAATATACATATCTTAACTTTAGATATATTTTAGTAACGTACAACAAATTATACATCTTTGCTCATTTCAATCCTAGGGTGTGACCCTGTAGGTTCTTGTAACGTTAGTAGTAATTATTAGAACAATTCTAAAATTACATACAATGAGGGACATCTAGCAATATCATTGTCACCTAAGTTATAAGAAAATATGATTCGACATATCATCTTGGTGATTAACTCTTTTATGTATTACATCCTTAAGTCCTTTATATCTAGAATAGGCACAAGCCTTGGAATAGTCACACTTGTATAGCCCATCTATTGTTTCTTGATATCTAGAGTAGACTTTAATTAAAGAATATTTGTGATATCTCATATCAACTTATTCGAGCATGGCCATGCGTTTCTAGTCTCACTCAATCAAGTGGCATGTGATATATTTCCTATTATGTTGGAAGGACAAATCCTATCTTAATCATACACACCCACTACATATATTGAGATATATTCAATAACAGTCTTTATAGAGCAACCAGTTACGGAGCTTGTTTAACTGCATCAAAACATACAACAATATATGTTGGGATAGTATTGATCTCAAGTCTGAGGATCATACATATAGTTATCACCATGAGCAATGTTATGATTGTCACATAATAATCCAAGACATATGCTCATGGTGGGTCAATCCAATACATTGTTCTCTAACAATATAATCATGTATCAATTCTGACATCTCTATGTCAATGACAACTCGTTGTCATCAATCAATAACATGTTAGTCTTAAGCGTATTATTATTGTCCATGCCCATAATAATACTTGACTAGGGATCTTTTAATAATAACAATTATGTCATTACATGGACTTTATTATCTTCCAGTTTATGTTAAACACACATATATAACTGAAAATAATAGCGGCAATACCTTTATTCAATAAAATTAGTAAATAAAAGTATTATTACAATCATCATATGATTGGTCTTTGGGTATACTCTAACAATCTCCCACTAGCACTAAGACCAATCACTCACATATCTAATACCGAGTGACTCAGTGTGACTATCATGCCTCTGCTGTGTAAGCCATTAAAGCCATTATATTAACCAGTTTTGTTGGTATAGTTTCAGGGGCTTGTATCGTGGCCATAGGTGAATTTGTCTCGATGTATTTGTAGTTGGATATTGAGTTGACTCAAATGAAAAGAGGCAAGCAAAGAGATGAAAGTAGAGAAAAATTAGATAAAGGATATCGGTAGGGAGGGAGGGCCATTGGGGCCCAAAGGGGTTCGATCCTATTGTAATTTATATGGCTACGAGCCGCAGTAATAGGTGCCGACGTCGGGCTCATCTCGACCGCATCGTTGATGATGGGTGTTGGTGAAGTAAAGGAAGACATTAAAGCCATGATACTAACTAGAGATTTAATTAGCGGTATGCAGTCGTAATGGCATTTGTGATATAGCGATTGCGATGCATTAGCGATCATTACTGTATGATCGTAATATCCGTAATCATCATAATAACGTTCGTTATATTGTAATCATGATAAACGTGGCGTAATTATAACCGCAATTTGAATACTTGATTGCGATCGTTTTAGTAGTTGAAATCGTCGGTTGGTTCGAGTGTTCCATCGGTGGTGGCCTCCATGAGAAAGGCAATAGAAATGGAAAGAGACTTTTTAATTCGGAAAACGACAAGCAAATTATTGAAGGAAATATACGGGTAAGTATGGAGGACACACGCCCCCCTTACCAGGGTATTTATTGAGGGAGACGTTCACCGTGGAAGCAAATTATTTTTATATATAATATTTTTGTTTTATTCATTAATATATGTATATATTATTATTGTATGTATGTTATGTATGTAAATATGTTATTTGATGCATATATGTATAGGATTTTAATTTGAATCGATGTGTATGATTCCTTCAAGAGCATCAGGGATGGAGCCAGGATTTTAGTTTATGGGAGCAAAGTATAATTAACAATAGGCTCCGTCACTGACAAGCATCACTTAGACTCAACTAAAATAACTTGACTAAGGGTAATATCCTTTTATTTTAAGATCGTGGGAAGTGGTTGTCGTAAGTGATAAGAAGATTGCTTCCAATGGTCTTAAAATAAAAGGGTATCCTAATAAGCGAAACCCTAAAATTAATTCCACTTAAAATTTGGAAATCAAAAAAAGATCATGTTCGCTTAATTAAATTCATCGGGTTAAGATTAGATCTAAGGTTTAGTCTCGATGTCTTTAAATAATTGAACGTCCTTATTCTTTTTAAAGGTTGGTAATATGATTAATTTATTGTATTTATTTTAGTTATGTGCATTAGAAATATGTGTTAACTTGTATGTGTTTAAAAGGATCTTGAATTAAATTATATTCGAACGTATAAATTTTATTACAAAGACAACTAATTAATTAACTAAGTATCAATTTAGGGTGTCGTGAGAGTGCTAATCATTCCTCACGCGTAATCGATTCCTAAACTCAAATTATTGGAACGTAGGCCTTAAAAATGTTGTTTTAATTAAAATTAATATTTTATTAAAATAACAAATTTATTTTTGGGTGACCAATCATACTCTAATTAAATATTGGTAACGACTCTGTAAACCGATTTTATGATTTTTAAATTCGAGTCTCATACTATTCGAGACAACCACCTCTTAGAAAATATCGATTCTAATCGACACTAAAAGAACGTCTCGACATGGTTAATAACACCTCGATCAACAATTTAGTATTAAGTATGGATGAAATAATATGTTTCTTGAACATTCTTTAATATAGATTTGGGTTTTGTTTAAACTTATTCGATGCCTCAAATGAAAACATAAATTACTGTCATCTGTTCCATTTTCGCCTCAGCACCTTATTAATCATATATGACCCATCTTATTGCATTATGATAGCAGCTCATTAATCATGTTTTAAATGTGTTGATTTTAGTATATTAGATTTTCGTATTTCGGTGGGTGAACCGAATAAGTTGGTATGTTTCTCTCTAACATTTTTAAGTATATAACAACAAGATAATGCAATGCCTCCAGGTTCACACTACCAATCCTCTAATTTGCTTACCAAATGATAATATCCTTTTAAATATAAAATATATCTACCCCCGGTTGTTTTTAATCTATGTAGTTGGTTTATTTACTTGTATTCAACCACTGATGAAAGAATCATAATAATGTAAGCTGCAAAATCTAAATAAATTTTAAATTTTATTATTATCAAAGTCAATTGCTATTAGGTCTCTCACCGTCATTTCCTCAACAAAGTATTTTTATAATGTTTAGAATCTGTGAGTTTTCTCGTGAAATATCAACTACTTTCATTATTTATTTCTTCTTTACTCGGTACACAAAATTATAAGTAAACATTTTAAATATTGAAAAGTTCAGCATAAAAGACCTATTTGTCCTTAACAAATTTTCTTTATATTTTGTTGCTTATGAATATTTAATTGTTTATATTATTTTGGTTAATCGTCTTTCTTTTTCTAAAAAAAGTTTTTTTTATTTTTATTTTTTTAATATATTTTTAGAATAAAATGTAACGGTATAATTTACAATTGAATTGTGGTAAAGTCAGTTTGTAAACATACACACTTATATACGAGTATTGAGATTTATCCATAATCGACTATAGTGATTTTGTATCTATCTTTTTCTTAGTTATTTAGTTGAGTTTCATCACTTCTTGTATGATCCTATCTTATTATTTATTTAGGTGTTAATTGATGCATTTTGAAATAATAATAAATACAGTACTTAATTTATCTTAATTTTTGTAGACTCGTGCTATAATTTTATTATATTTTTATCTAATCAAATTAATATTATTATTAATTAAAAAATATTAATATTGACCTTTAAAAAAATCAAATCTCATCATCATACATGAACTGTATCGTGTATGGATTTTTGACCAAGGTTTATATTCAAATCATATCATCATCGACACCTCTTTTGACTCAAAACAATTGAGTACATAATTGAGAAAAATATATAATTTAGGCACCGACATGTGAATTAAGCCTCTCTATCTCTTTTTGGGTTTGTTAAAATCGTTCAACATTGTTTTCCATAGTAATAGTATGTATCTCAAATCCGCTTTTATTTCTCGCCACTGTTTTCCAGCTCATTTCGTTCAGAATTAATAAAACTATAATAGTAATAATCTGCTCCAGTAATCCACCGCCACCGCCGTATCCTCCGCTTATTTTAACTGAAAAGATGGAACAAAAGCTGACAGTATCGATAGACCAAATGCCTCCCCGTGGAGCTCACCACCGGCGGGCTCACTCCGATACAACTTTCCGTTTCGACGATCTTCTCCTCTTCGACCCTTCCGACCTCGATCTTTCCTTCCTTGACCTTCCGCCTTTCTCATCCAATCCCACTCCGCCGCATGTCATCCCCGTTCCCACCGATTCCTCCGACGACTCCTCGTCCAGTGGCCACCCTCCTTTCTCCTCCCATGGTAACCCCAGGCATATATCTTCTCATCTCCGTAGTCTTTCTGTTGACTCTGATTTCTTCGAGGGATTAGGATTGGCTGGACCCGCAATTTCCGGAGGAGCTGGAGATGAGAATTTTGGCGGGAAAGCAGGGGTGGGGGAGAAGAGGGCTCATCATAGGCATAGTAATTCCATGGATGGGTCTTTTGAGGCTCTGTCTTTGATGGCTGTTGACGGTGTTAAGACAGCTATGGCTCCTGATAGGCTTGCTGAGCTTGCTCTTATTGATCCCAAGAGAGCTAAAAGGTTTTTATTTTATCTGCAACTACCTTTTTTTAATTAAGTGGAATTTGTCAAATTTTTATTTTAGTTAATTCAAAGGAAACGTAATTAATTATATGATTTTCTTCTTTTTTTCCTTTTGATCTTTTCTTCACAAAAAACAAGTTTGTTTTTTCTTCCTTGGTAGACTGTTCCCCTTGTTTTGTGATGCATTATTTTTTTTTTTAATTTTAGTTTGCAGTATAGAAGTAATTACCTTACCGAAGGTGAAAAAATGTTGAATACTTGTTGCCTTATGAATGTCATTCGGTGCTCTTACTAAATGAAGTTTGTTTTATGTTGTAGGATTCTGGCTAACAGGCAATCGGCTGCACGCTTGAAAGAGAGGAAGATTCGATACACGAATGAGCTTGAGAGGAAGGTTCAGACACTTCAGACAGAAGCTACCAATCTCTCCGCGCTGGTCACATTGTTACAGGTAATTGAATTTTATGCCTTTTTAGTTTTGCTTTACAACTCTAAAGTCTAAAACTCAGACGGTTGCTCCTTTCTATAATGTGAACTTTCCAGGTTCATGCATTCTTATTTTCTTGTTATTATAATACAATACCTCAGTCATTTATACACGGTTTTCCAAATGCAAAGTCTCCTGCTCTCTAGTTGTATCTTGATTGTAACTGTCATAGCAACTGGTTGTGAAGTTTTATACATATATTATCATAGGCTTGAAACTCCTGCTAGCGTATTCATTTAGAGGTCAAATCACATTTGTGATCATTGGAATAATTGTTATAGACTTTTCCCATCTTATTTGGAACTTATAGAATTTACTACTATTTGAAGAACTAATTCTATGTAAAAAAGTAGCGGTTTTAATTTCTTCCTTTGGAGGAGGGGGGAAGAACCCTAAAACCAACGTGGATTTTTATGAGGAAAATCTTTCTGCGACAGTTTTCAACTGCTATATGGATAGAATCATCTTCGTTGCAATAACAGTTAAATGTAACGGACTTATATTACTGCTTCTGTGTAAGCTAATCTATGTTAAGCTAATCTATGTTGCCAGTATCATTTGCCACTTTGTACCTTGGAAAGTTCCATTGTCTTTTGTTTTACAAATTTTCTGACATAATTTTCTTATATAGCAATCATTGATCAATCCCTAAGTATTACGAGGGGAAATTTGCTATGAATACTGAAATACTTGTGCCATAGAAAATTTTTGAGGTATTATTATTAGGAATCATGTTCATTCTTAAATCTATCAGTCAGTTCATTGTATCCACCACCTTTGGTAGTAGAGGGTGTATGCCTGTGTTGCATGGGCTGGGACTCAACTTTTTGATGGTATGCATCTGAAACAGGTGAATTATAGTTTTCAATAGTTTTTTTATGCTTTGGGGCCAGATCTGTGATTCAGATAAGCAGCTCTACTTTGAACCCTTTTGTCAATGGGGATATGTTAGAGGAAATGAGAACTAAGTGACAGGCGTATTACCAGGAAAATAATCTATTGGGTTTAGTGATAAAATTTGAGTACTTATGTTTTATGATAATTTGTGATGCTTTTAGGGTGTATCACAATATCTCAGAATATTTAAATGAAAAATTGTATTTAACCCTCTTGAGATGGATTCATGCCATTTTAACTGCTGAGAGGAAGGAGACTTTGTGCACTTCCCTTTTTCCTGAATAGGAATGAAGGTAAGGCATAAATCTCCTCTTTTCCATAGCTTTTCAACTGTTCCATATCAAAACTGCTTCTTTGGTTCTGCTGATATAATATAGGCCATGCATATGCCTAGAGACTCGGACTGACATTTATGTGACAAAATAGGGTCAGTTGGGTTGGTCAATTTCAGACATTGAATCTTTTGAAGGTGCCTGTCGGTTTTGTTTTTTTTATAGAAGTTAGGCCTCATTAAAAACCCCTTCATATCCTACATGTTATATCAGTAACATGAAGGACATAGGAAGGAGGAAAAGAATGCCTCTGAATTTTATTACTCTGAATCATAACGTACAACCAATTCCTAATCATAGACTGCTTGTAACATAAGACTTAAAAACATAACACATACTGCAGCAGTAAAACCAGAAACCTAAAACACTGACTAAGCACAACAACTTAAGAACCTCAACACATTACCACTAGATCAACCAATACCAGCCTTTGCTAACTCAGCAGCTCTCAAAATATGTCTTGAAATGATGCCCTTTCCTTCCAAGGTGCCTGTCAGTTCAGTACCTTATAAAACAACTGCTAGATAACCATCACTTTTTGAGTTCTCCAAATACTTTCAAGAGCTTGATATTTAGTTGAGGAATGAATAGAGTATCACTACTAATTATTTTTGTCTGTTCTGTATGTTACCGTGTTGTATGTGGATGCATTTTACTACATATAGATGTATCTCCTGTAAAGCACATACTTCACTGACTTTATGCGTCATATTTCTCTATGGCTTGAACGGGGGTAAAGTGACTTCCTCGAGCGTTTTCTTGTGAAAGCAAAACAAAACGGTGCACTTTCCCTCTGACTTCATGTCTCTTTTTCTCTTGAGCTTAAATAAGCAAAAAATCCATCCACTAGCATTTCCTTATTAGGAAAGTAAAATGAAAACAGTGTAATTTTTTCCTCTGCAGATCTTCCTACTGATCTCATGGATAGTCCGTACTTACAACTTTTTTTTTAAATCAAGAAAAGATGCATGCATTCATACAACTTGGTTATGTATATAGGCCTGAAAAATCTCAATTCATAATCTCTCAAAGAGCATATGCGACCCTAAGCCTTGACTTGTTAATCTAGCTAAAATAACTAAATAACAAAAGTACACTGAATACAAAATAGTATAATTCATGACATAAAAACTACAAATCCTTAGTAGTTTGATTGTTCAATCAATTTTTTTCTCTCATCTGATACTTTTCCAGTTCTACATTCATTGTGAAGCAGGCAATGTGATATTTAAATTTTAAACTATGTAGAATATGTACATTTTTTACATGATTTCATTTGGTTGATGTGACAACACTCGTGTCTCTGTCATAGTTGTTAATTGATGATTGGTTTGATAGTTGCTTCTGCTGATTCCTTGCCTTAATTTCTCTTTTTGGCTATTTGCTTTTCTAGTTATCATTCTCGTAATATATGACTGTATTTCTAGATTCCTATTGACTTATTTCTGCTGAAGCACGCACAGTGAAAGGAATCAATTTTGATATATTTATACTATGATGCAGAGAGACACCACTGGACTGACTACTGAGAATAAGGAACTCAAACTGCGGCTGCAGGCTATGGAGCAACAAGAAAAGCTTAGAGATGGTATGTATGTTTCTTCTCATTTGTGCAGTGGGTGGGAGCTTCATAGGTGGACTTATTACCGTTTTGTAGTAAATTGTCAAATATGATGTTTGTAAAACCATAAAAACTTTTCCATTTCAGAGTTAAGTGATTGCAATATAGATATGCCACATTTTTGTTTTCATGTGGTTTTCAGATGCCATATAGATATCGTCATAAACCTTTTTTTTAATGTAACCAATTCCTGCTAGGTCATCAATGCGGTCCAGACAGTTAAAAAATTAGGTTTTGATGATATCTTATTTATGCTGTATTTATTTATTTTCCTATGGTTTGCAGCACTGAATGATGCACTGAGGGAAGAAGTGCAACGGCTTAAGATACAAGCCAGTCAAATGTCAGCTATGAACAGAAATCCATTCAACAGGGGACCGCTTCCTCAGTTTTTACCCCACCAACCTGCTCCGCACTTCGGTGTCCATCAGACCCCACTGCACCAGCAGATACAGATGCCTCCGTCATCCACCAACCAAACTCTCAACGGACAGCTGCGAAGTCGCGTCATGGATTTTAACCACAGCACTTAGTTTTCCGTTGGAAGAAAATTCATTAAAGGGATCATCTTGTACATATAAATATGTATATGCATTTGTTTTCTTGCAAAAAAAAAATGTATATGCATTGCAGGTTGTGGTTGTGAAAAAGTGTTTGATAGGATCTGTCGCTTTGTATCGGGTTCACATATGGCTTTACCACCCACTAGATGATATTTGAAATTATAGAATAATTATCCACCGGTGAGATGGTATATACCTTGTATATATAAATTGTGTGTGTGTGTGTGTTTTTGGTATATATCCAGTTGTAAAACAGTCTGGAACCGAGTTGAAAGTGATGTCAGATGATGAGAAAAATAAGACAATTAAGGTAGCAGAATATTAACACAATACATGCACTATATGAGAAAGAAAATTCTATCGCCCTGAATGTGAAGACAATTCATCTTCTCTTGCAAGGCATTAAACATTGCTCGAGAGTGCATTGATTTTCTCCATCCTTGTGATCTGAAAACCACAAGGCATTGGACAACCCACAAACTTGTGGCCGGAAACACTTAATCGTTGTTAACGTCATCAACATAGTATAATTAAAAATTTTAATTACATAAACTAAGCTACTTCAATTATTGTGTAATGTGCATAGATGGGCAAGCTAAACTAGACGATGGGAACTTCTGCGAGTCAAATACGGATCAGGCATTGGAGCGGAGTAGATCCGAAGAGAATGGATTATTAGCAAATATGTTGAGCTATTATGGAGCAGGTCTATCAACTATATGAATATGAACTTGTACTAAAAGAAATATTATGATTTTGATGAACGAAACACAATCTTCCTTACTTCTCTCAACTTCTATCTCTATTCTTAATTTCTTTTATCTTCTTCGGCCTAATTTATACGGGTCCATGACAAATTGGTATCAGAGTCATTTTTTGATCCCACCTCAAGCTGGAAAAAAATGGTAGAAAACAAAGCCTCAGAAGTTCTAGAAACAAGCGGTGAAGAACATCAAGAAACCATACCAAAGTGGTGGAAAAAGCAGAAGAACAAGTGGGAAGATTCAAGATTTTGGAAGCTAGATCAGAGGAAACTAGGAGATGTCTCCAAAGAATCTTGAGTCTGATGGTGAAAGCTGGAGAGAAGAAAGATCAGTCCACATCTGCAAGCAATCAGCAGAATTTGAGAAAAAATCAGGCCGGAATGCTTCACAAGGTTAGTTCAGATGTTTTCGATTATTCTAAATCGACTCTAGTTCAGATGACTCATGAACAACAAATTAATGAGGAGAAAGGAATGGGTCAACCTTCACTGGGTGATTCTAAATCCGTCTTCGTCACTCCTAAAACGACACAAATGATGTTTCTCTAGTGTTCGATAAAAATTCAGCAAGAGTATCTGTTGTCGCAATTCCGTCCATCACCAACACCATGAAAGTTGATTCTCCTTCAAAGACAAATGTGGTTCATTTTCTACTCTGTCAGCAAGTTGGTAACTCATTACATTATGTAGTTCACTCGATATTTGGAGAAATTTATTCCGTGTTGTTTATAAATGTCAACAAATATGTTGAGGTCTTTGAGGGAAGGAATATAAATCAATTTGCTAAGAGTTTGAGTGCGACTATAAGGGAGCTTATTTCATTAGGTATGCCAACAATTGTTTCGTTAAGTGCGAAAGGGTGGGTTGCCGTATACAAATATAATTTGGTCCATTATGCATACATGTGGATCTATACACAATACTGCTACATTTAAGACTCTCCTCATAGCTGCTGAATTTCTTGTGGATTGTTTGTTGCTTTGTGATATTGAAGGTAAAGTTACAAGTTATGCTTTTAAATCTTCTATTGGATGGAACTGAAATCATAGTTCAAGTGCATTAAAAGGTTCAAAGCTCCACCAAAGATTTCAGGGACATCATTTCACGACAAATAAAAGCAATTTACTTGGCTTATGGTTTATTGGTTACACTTCTTCAAAGGTTATATCTCGAAATCCTTTGACAGCAGGTTTTTTTCCAAGTTTCTGTTACCTAGGGCTGGTTATCTAGCAATTGAATTCAATCGAGTGAGTTGTCTTGTCTGGGTATTACATGAAGCTGCCAGAAGCTTTTCCCTTGCAGTTGAGTTACTTGAGTTGGATGGAAGCAGAGTTGAGCTTGAAATGACTTGGAATGTAAAGGATGTGCATTAGTGGCGTGGACTTATCACTCATCAGGTACTACACATGGATATGAATGACTATTACGGGGGAGAGTCGACTTCTCTTAATCTTGTGCAGCTTTGGAAACATTTTAAGGGAGATGATTAGCCTCTAATGCCTTAGCACTCCAGAAGGATGATAGTTACATAGATAAATCAGTTCTAAATTTTGTCAAGAGAATGAAGCTTTATACAGCCTTTGGCACAGTTTTAAGGAAGATTTCCTTACATCTATGCATTATATGAAATCGGTGAATTGTCTTAGGCACTTGCATGTTTAAGCGCGATTTATGGCAGTACTTGCATGTTTAACAAGTTTTTGAAACTAAGGTTACAGTGTCATGTTACGAATTATCTAAAAGCTTGGACGCAATTGCTATTGCGAGTGAAGTATTGGTGTGAAGACGATCACAATGATCATTAGGTAGAGCAATGGCTAATTAGTTGGGATGGAGTTCCTTCTCATACAACTTGGGAGGATTTCATGGTGTTACAATCACAATTTTCGGACTTTGATCCTTGGGGACAAAGATTGGTTGCAGGGGAGGGTAATGTCCTGTGCATGGATGGGCAAGCTAAATTAGATGATGGAAACTTCTACGAGTCAAATACAGGTCAGACATTGGAGCAGAGTGAATCCGAAGAGAACGGATTATTAGCAAATATGTTGAGTCAATTGTGGAGGATAAGCCCATAAAGGCTTAATAGTTGGAGCAAGCCTATCAGCTATATGAATATGAAATTGTACTAAAACGAATATTATGATTTTGATGAACGAAATACAATATTCCTTACTTTTCTCTCAACTTCCATCTATTCTTAATTTTTACCATCTTCTTTGACCTAATTTCTGTCGGTCCATGATAGATTGTTAATCCTAGAGGTCTCGGGTTCGAGTGTATCGTCTGTTAAGGGTGTTTAAGCATTCATCATCAAATGAACTGAAAGTCTTTCGAACATGTATTACTTGTAATCACCTGAAGATTAATAAAAAATTAATTGCATAATTCTCATATAAAAATAATTAGTCTATAATTAAACGATGGTTCATTTAATTTTTTTGAAAGATACCATCAGAGCCTTTATTGAAGAGTAAAGTAACAAAATACAAAACCAAGTCACAATTATCGTCTGTTAAGGGTGTTTAAGCATTCATCATCAAATGAACTGAAAGTCTTTCGAACATGTATTACTTGTAATCACCTGAAGATTAATAAAAAATTAATTAATCATAATTCTCATATAGAAAATAATTAGTCTATAATTAAACGATGGTTCATTTAATTTTTTTTAGAAAGATACCATCAGAGCCTTTATTGAAAGAGTAAAGTAACAAAATACAAAACCAAAGTCACAATTTGAGGGAAAACATAACCGAAAACAAAACTAAACGAGTAAAATAAAGTAAAACAAAAGACAAAATAACTCAGACGACCCAAAGCCATTTGGTTTCAAAATGGTGAGATAGTAAAGAGAAGCTCGAAGAAATCAAAAACAGCGAGGGCATAAAGCATGTTAAAGAAATGCCCAAAACTTCTATGACTGGTCCAAACACCAGCGATCAGCTTTAGAAGCAAACAAGACTGATGACAGTGTGTCGTCAACCAAAAAAATCATTCACTTGATTCAGATCATAGGATGCCATTGCATAGGCAACTAGGTTACCATTTCGGCCGACATAAACAAAACGACGGATATGAAAGTTACAGACCAGTCTTTTCGCATCAATAATAAAGGGGCGAACGGAGGATGCATCATCGAAAGTAGAGCTAAGTTTCTTGATAATGTTTCTGGAGTCTCATTCAACAATGAGATTAAGAAAACTCAAATCCATGGTAAATTCCAAACCTTAAACAATTGTGATAGCTTCAGCTTCAAAAGCGGATGAGATTGAAGGATTTACTCGGTAAGCTGAGCTTAAAATGAAACTAAAACTATCACGTAACACTAAGCCTGACCATGACTGTCAAAGAAATGCCCAAAACTTCTATGATGGGTCCAAACATTGGCGATCAGCTTCAGCAGTAGACAAGACTGATGACGGTGTGTCTTCAGCCCAAAAACAATCTTCCACTTGATTCCGATCATAGGATGCTATTGCATGGGCAACTAGGTTACCAATAACAGATGCAAAAGTTACAGGTCAATCTTTTCGCGTAAATAACAAATGAGCGAGCAGAGGATGCATCATCGAAGACAGAGCTAAGTTTCTTGATAACGATTCTAGAATCTCCTTCAACAATGAAATTAAGAAAGCTCAAATCCATGGAAAATTCCAAACCTTGAACCACTGTGATAGCTTCAACTTCAAAAGCGGATGAGATTGAAAGATTTACTCGGTAAGATGAGCCTAAAATGAAATTGAAACTATCACGTATCACTAAGTTGACCACGATCTTTGTTCACCAAGCACTTGTGTTACTATCATCATTTTTGAGTCAGTTGGCTTGGGTCCGTTGTTCCCGATAGATCTCCTCACGATCAATTTTTAAGTTCAAGGCAATTTTAGTTTCTAAAATCTAACCAAGATTACTATCAGAAGGTTGCATATCATTTAGTTCTTACAAATGTTTCTTTTGATCAAGGTTGTGACCTTTTTTCCCTTTTTTTAACGCGATGAAACCAAACATCCAAACTTTTACCAACATGTTTAAGATTAGTGGGGACAAAATCAATAGAAGAGGTTCATAATTGAGCGACTTCCTGTTCACACATGTCCTTAATCAACCATGTTGCTTACTTCCTGTTCACACATGTCCTTAATCAACCATGTTGCTTCAAAATGAAAGTGAGCAATACGTTGCCTTGGTATATAAGCATCGTTAGTCTGGAGGAGACGCGGACAATGGTCTGAGAAAGCATGTGCCAAATGATCGAGCTCATAGTGAGGAAAAAGGGGGTTCATAACCCCTCTATCAAGTCGATCCCTAATCTTTTCGACTTATAGTTGGTCCCGTTCCCACGTGAACCACTGCCCTCAGGTGGAGTCGCATTGCACTCCATGTGACTTAGGCGGAGTCGCACTACACTCCATGCGATCGAATCTTAAACAGGGAGACATGAGGACGGCAATACGTCTCCCCCTTCTCCAGTCTGCAAGTCTGGCACCGAAAAGAAAATTTTGGTTAGTGGATTTGGGCTGACCTGAATATGTCAATAATTTGCTGCTATGCCCTTTTTTGTGTTATTACTTGCTGATAATTGCTTGTGTTTTTCAGATCATTGCACAAGCACTTGAAGGCCTGTCAATTGAATCAGCTTTTGATTTGCAGAAAGTCCTAAGAGTAGACACGTTCACATCACCTACAAGTGCCTTTAAGAGGCTTGAAGTAATGATTACCATTTTTCAAAGTCGCATGGGAGCGCTGCTATTCCTTATCTCGGCATTACTTTCTCAAGGGCAGGTGAGTTTGTTGGCTTGAAAACTCCATTTTATTTTCATCTTCATCAATATTCTGAAAGGTCAGAAAGAAAACCAAGAGTAGGTATATACATGTTTGTCGAAAGTTAAGATTTTGTTTGCACGTGGATGCGATTTTATCCGTGCTTCCTTTCTATACTTTAGGACCGTGTTCAAGCAGACCGGGACGATCCCAGCCTACCCTTAGTAACTGCACCATTTGGTCATGCTTCTCAGGTAGTAAACTTTGCATATATTCATTGAATGGATGGGGCTTCAGTCTCTCCAAATTGGTACTGCTGTCTTTGATGCATTCTTCCATTGTAATTGGTTTTATTTGAAATTTTTTCAGGAAATTGTTAACTTATTGCTCTGTGGGCAAGCTGTTCCAAATTTATTTGATGGGAGGATGGATTTAGGCGGTGGCATGTTTCTGAAGGGTATACCTACAAGTGTGGAGGTCGGATTCCTCACTCTTTTAGAATCCCTTAATTTCTGTAAGTTGGTCAAAATCTGAAGTGCCCGAAATGGCCGATATGGGTTGTTGGAAGTGAGTCCCATTATACGGTCCTATTAGCTCTGGATACAGCTGTTCAAGATGAGAATGAACTGGAAGAAAGGGAATCACAGATCCGGAAAGCCTTTGATGCCCAAGATCAAGCAGAGGTGGTGGCTTTATCAGCGTAGAAGGTTTCCATCAAGTACTCGGGGCTTCATCGTATGGAGCGAGTTCTGGAAGGTTATTTTGGATTTGGACAAAAACATGGGAGGCCTTAAGGATTCAACTGGACAGATGGGTAGAAAGATATTTGACCTTTACCATTTCAATGGTATTGCAAAATCAGATTTGAATGGCAGCCAAGCTGGAGGTGAGTCCCCGGTACAAAGACCCAGGCTTATGAAATTGAGGGTTTCAGTACCCCCAAGGTGGACCCGGAGGAATTCATGGCAGATGTAGCAGATCCTCCTGTTACTGCTGGCACTGAATCGAGTGGGAATGATGCCGAAGTGGCTAAGCCTGAACAACCTCCGCAGCATGCACCATTGGCGGACTGCATGAGAACACGCTGGCCTCGTGCTGTTTATAATCGGATTGGGGACCCTCCTAGTATAGTTTGAATGTATATTAGATCAATCACCTCAGGTATCCTTACCTTTGTGTTACTGGCGTCAAGGAACGTGCTGGAACGAAAATGAGAGAAAAAACCACGCGAAAGTGGTAAAGCTGGTTAATTGCAAACGAGGAGGCAAAGTTATTTCCTGGTTTCGTTCGTTTCAGGTTCTGTTGTGTATTTGTTGTAGTCATTGACATTCTAGTTCAATTTTCTTATGTTAAATACAAAGGAAAAAAAAAGGATTTTACGTCGATCAAATGCGCACTCCTTCATGTTTGCGATTGTTTTAGCCAGCAAATGTTATAAATCTAACTATTTATTTTTCCCCTTTTTTCACTGCAATTTTGTCATGTGGGGCTCTTCAGTTTGGCTCACGACATAAAATCTCATTCGAGTATTATACTAAATACGTACACATTATGGTAGACAGATTTAGTAGTAAAAACTTCTTCTGTTCTGTTGGAAGTTTTGATCGCCACACATGAATAATTTATAGCTATAATTTTTTACTATTAAATTAATCAGTAACATGTAAGGTGAAACGTGTGAACCAATGCAAAGAGATTACAAAGGTAGCCGATATTCATGAAAAAATATCTGAGTAGTCATGTCCAAGTGGTCTACTTTTGAAGCTTGAGCAGACAATGAAAAAGTTATCCCTTTTGTCTGAAATAGATGATAAACAAAAATTATCGACGATCTAAAATGTGCAAATATTCCATCAATATGTAGCAATAATCTTTTGGAGGGTCAATGATACTACTGCATCAACAGACGAAAATTGACAAAGGGTGATGATCCATTCCGTGAAAGTAAAGTAGAAACTTCCTTCTCCTAATCAAGCAGTCCTTAGAGGTGGAGAAACCAGTATGACTCCGTCACCCCTTACAAACAGAAATGGAACCATGCGCTTTGTAGTCTGAAATGAGGAGAAAATAGGGTCATCGTCCAAAAACATAAAAGAAAAAACCTAACTTACAACAAAGACCCTGTTTCCCCCCTTTTAATCAGTCACTAGAAATCTCCAGTTCGATAGGAGTACTTCTTGTTTGCCTCCATCCCAAAGTCAGATTCTTGCATTACCCAATATAAAATAAGTTCATCCTGTTAATGACTAACCAAAAACTTAAGGTGGTACACTGGTACTAGCAATGAATCAGAGAGATGATTGTGGTTTCTGTTCACACGGAAGCATCTTTCTCATAAGTTCGAATGAAAGTAGAAAAAACTGAAAATGAAAAAGTTATACAACTTTGTAACTGCTAAGTGCTAATGCCTAATAAAAAAAGAGTTAATTGCATCACACGTCCTTCAATTATAACCCACATTCTAAAATGGTTCCTAAACTTTTAAATATTCTAATTTCATTCCTAAACTATGACTATCATTCTAAACCTAGTCCTCGACCTAAACTTTTAAATATTCTAATTTCAGTCCTAAACTATGACTATCATTCTAAACTAGTCCTCAAACTTTTGAACATTTCAATTTCATCCCAAATTATACCTATATATTAATCACATCCCATGTTAATAAAATTGTTAGGCCAAGTTATATTATTATACGTTTGAAAAAGAATTAGGTTAAACTATGGTTGAAATTGATTATACATTTGGATGAATTTGGGGATAAAATTAGAAGATTCAAAAGTTTGGGGACTAATTTAGAACAAGATTCATAGTTTGGGGATGAAATTGGAATGTTCAAAAGTTTAAGGACTAATTTAGAATGAGAATCATAGTTTGGGGATAAAATTGGAATGTTTAAAAGTTTAAAGAAGGGTCATAGTTTGGGGACATATGCAATTAACTCCTAAAAAATGCAAGCATTCTTCATGGATAATACATGGTTATCTGGAATGACATAAAAGTTATCAATGACACCATTTCAGCCAAGACTTATTAAAGTTCACCTTCTACATCTAGTTCACACATTAGTTTTCAAAACAAATATTGCTCATATTGAAAGAGAACAGTGATGTGATAACCTACCCGAACAATCTCCTCATAGGTTTCATCATCTATTTCAATTGTAGTAACAACCTCTTCAACATCCCCAAGAATCATATTCAAATGCTGATCATAAGCCTGCAATCCACATTAGAGAAGAACTAAGCATCAGAATGAAGAGCTACAAGCTCTTAACATCATGGCCAATCATAATGGCAAGTAATAAGGACATAATTACTAATTCCTATTACTGAACAAGAAAAAACTCTCCCTATAGAATCAAATTGATCTGTATTCATATCACCTTCAGTTCAGATGGTAAATGGCTAGAAAAAGATATTCCCTTGATATCTTGCCAAAAAATAAATATAACTCCAAAATAATATTGTAACAAATGAAAAACCATTGGCTGTTATGAACCAGTTACCAGAGTATAGATGTTAACAAAACAACAAATCATGTTGCACTTGTTCTCATTAGACCAAACTTTCATGAAATTTGCAGACAAAAAATAAATAGTCACATCAATCTTTTCACAGAAAAGATATGAAAATAATTCGAGAGAAGCTAACATGAACATATAGAGTTACTTGGGGTAGAGAGGAAGAAAAAGAGAAACAAAAATGAAGTCGGAGGTCAGCATCAGCAACATATCATCTAAATTCACACTGTTCCGGTAACAAACAACTTCAAGCAGCTGCTTAAAATGTTACCAAATCAATGTGACCAACAGATATCAGGCAGCAATTAAAACAAATAGATACATAGACTTGCATGGAATGAAGGTATAGCGTTCAGAAATGCTAGAATGAGATAACTTAGATTATTGGTATAGAGTATCAATATCATAAATAAGAGTAACCATTTAGAAACCGTCCAATAAACAGACTAATCCATGAACCAAAGACTTAAAAATTTAAGAGTCGCCCCAAAATTTGCATTATTGAAGCATAACAATTGAACAAGTCATGAAATTTGTTTCAACCTGGTTAGGCATATTCAAGTCGGACTATTCTCAAGGGCTACCTAGTACTACCTGAATTAGCATACCCTAAATTGAAAAGGGGGGAAAGAAGGCCCAAATTAAGGAACCCTAAAATGGAATTCGAGAAGATTAAACTTGAAGCTTACATAAATACGTTCGTCGAGGCTGAGCCTTATCAAATCCAAAGGCTCCTTCACCGTAAACTACTTCTTTAGTACCAAAACTATGTTTTTTTCCATTTGTCACTAAACTATTTTTGTTTTCAAAATCACACTTAACATTTAGTTTTGGTTTTATTTTGATCACTCTCCTTTAAAAAATTAACAATAATGTTAATATGTCACCATAAGGTAATGTCATGTCATCACTGAAAAAAATTTAAAAATATTGTGTCAGTAGTTCTGTTAACTTTTTAGTAATAGATAACCAAAATAAAACTAAAATGTATTATTTGGTGTGATTTAAAAAATATAATTAGATGAAAAAATAAAACAAAAATGATACTTTATATACTAAATATGTATACAAGATATGATATTATAGAGTAAATTACCTGGATTGTCACTTAAATTTCATGTTTATTTAAAAAATTTAATTTATTGTCAGATTAATTCACCGTCGAGTATTAGATAACATTACATAAAAAGATCTTATTCATGACGAATACAAAAATGAATTCCTAGTCAAATTAAAAGAAATTATTTTTCTTTATTTATATATTATTTTCTATTCTTTCTTTTATATAAGATATTATCCTCCTTGAATAACCCATATAATCATATATCATTTTATTGTATTTTCACTTTCAAAAATTCAACCGTTGGTTAACAGCTATATGGACAACGGTTATGGCCAATGGTCAACTGAAACTCGTCACCTTGAGGTGACAGTTCAGCTCGGTATTTTTCCCAACTAGTCGTTTATAGGCTTTGGATATAAGGCTATAAATAGGGGTTTAGGGTTTGGTTTTTCATAACCCTAAATTTAAAAAACTACAAAAAATATATATACCTTCAATCAAAATCTCAAAAAATAGAAACCTTAGATTATAAGTTGTTTCTGGATAACATTCATGTTTCATAAATCGTACGTCGGCCGGATGATGAATGGAATATTCATAAGCGCAGGATGATATACGGAGAGCATCAGCGAACTGTGATATATCTATAGCAATCTGGTCTATTTCCAGCCATATTTGTACGTGGCTTCAAGCTTTACCCGAGTTGATTGAGGCTCTCGCTGAATGTTGGTGGCCCGAGACACACATGTTCCACTTCTCGAGTGGTGAAGCGTTGATTAC